ATTGGTCGAGCTCCAGCAACTTTGCATTCATGACTTTCATGAGTTGCCGCACTGTCTTGATCTCCCAGGCATACGAGCCAAGTGGATTCTCCATGGTGAAGAACTTGCCCCTCTCGTGCGCCCTGAAGCCAAGCGCTACAGTCCTCTTCAAAATCTCGTTGCCCTCCTCGGCCAGTGGATGTCCCCAGCCTTCCGGGTGTGCATCGTCTCGGACCACCACAGATGTTCCGTGCACGTCCGACCTTCGAGCCCGAGTGAACGACTTGCAGGGGAAAGCTGCATGCGTCCAGTCTGCCTCCTCCACTTGTGCCTGCGCCCACTTGTAGCCCTCGTCGGAAAGGATGTCCCAGTCGTGGTAGATGTCTTGAGGCTCCATGACATCCACTAGTCCTCCAGCCACATCCTTCACTGCTCGCGAGAGGCCACCCATGCCAGCGTAGAGCTCCAGGAAGCGGAACTTTCTCAGTCTTGTATCGAAATTCACCTGTCTCGAAGTGGAAGGGACCTCGCAAAAGTCGTACTCCTCCTCTCCAGTCTCGACTGCCTCTTCCAGTTCTCTCTTTGGTCATTTCTTCCATTTGTTCTTGCCACCAGAGTCCTTGTTCTTGCCGCCCCCTTTGTTCGCCCTCGGGCACTGGGCATTCGGGCGACGACCCATGCAAATCTGACAGGAGTGATCCCTCCCGTCTTTGCATGGCTCTGGACAGCTGTTGTTCGCACCCTTGGCAAATCTGTAGCAAATATCCACACCATCCGCATTGGCGGCATATAGACCACCTTTGGCCTTCTGGTAAGGCGTGTTCTTCGCAGGGTCCGATCTGCTGCCTTCCCATGCCTGAGGTCCGGACCAAGTAGACCACGAAGAAGATCCGGGGTTGCTCGAAGGTGTCCACTTGTCTCGAAGCTCCTTGTCTCGCCTTCTCTTCTTCGCTGCTCTCGATTGTCCTTGTCCAGGCGGGCTGTCTACACTGTTGGAGACATGTTCGAGGACCTCCTGCGCCGTCTCCGGGATGGTGGCTGCTGCCGCTTTGTCCATGGTCATCTTCTTTCCTCCCCTGGCGATGAAGTTTTGCGCTGGCCTCACCACATGCTCGCCCCAGTAGGTCGCATCTCGTGCTGCATGGGTGAATACCCCGATCCAGGGTGTTGCAGGGTTGAAGTCCAGGCCCATCGGCAATTTGCCATCCACTGCAGCCTTGACCAGCTGGCGCCGGTAGCGCTCGAACATCTCTGAGCGGCATCGGTCCTCGGCCTGCATCAGCAGGTGCCAGGTCTCTGGGAATTCTGCATTGAGCTTGACCACCCTCTCGTAGTATTCCTCGAGGCAGGCTGCAGAGACAACCCTTTGAGGAGATCCACCTGGGGTCGTGGCTGCATAGCGCAGCATGAACAAAGCCGCTCTGTATACTTTCCAGCAGGCGGACCAAGTCTCGAAGCTTGGCGGTCCAGGGATGTCGAGTGCACGGAAGCTTCCATCCTGCTGCAGCATCCAGGAACGAGCCTTCATTTGCTTTTGTACCCTCCTGCCGAAGGGGGTGAGCACCGAGAAGTCGGCGTACGGAGCTTCCCCCCTTTCCACCACTCTTGCACGAAGGGCAGCGATTTGCTCGCTTGTGGGTTCTGCGTCCGCAGGAGGTTCGGCACCTGTGATCTCCACATGACATCTGTATGCTTCGTCTATCTGCGCCTGTGTGAGTACAGGCACCTCGGACTCGTCGAGCTGGTCCAAGACTGAGTTGGTCTTCACTCTTTTCTGCGATGTCTGAGGAGGTGCAGCCGCATTCGTAGGTGAAGCTGTTCCACCTAGATCGGACAGTGGGTCCACATCGTCCATGCCATACACGTGCCTGGCTACCCTCCAAGTCAGGGCCAACTGAATTGCTTCGACCACATTGAGCTCGCGGGGTTCCCCTCCTCCAGTGACAGCAATTCGCACGTGGTTCAAACTGGCCTTGAAGGCGGAAGGAGCCATGTTGGCCATAATCCTCAAATTCGGCACCGTACCAACAGCACGCTGCCAAGCTGACCAGCAGGGATCCTGTGCGCCAGACCATCGTTGGGCCGCGGCCAAATCGGTGATGCCTCTAAGCTCGTCGCCGGTGGGGAGCAGGGTGCCGGCCATGCAAGGCCTGAAAGGCCTGGAGCGTCACCACGTCAGACGCTACCACGAAGTCCTCCACAGACTTTCGGCCGACCCACCAGCGGGCGAGACACCACCCACAGCAACCACCAAGGAGCCACACGCCCAGCACGAACAGGAGAAACTCGTCCATGCCAGACGTGGAAACCCAGGGTCGCAATCTTGAGCCAAAATTGGCCCGACCCTGAATTCACAACCACGCCACCTAAACACAGCTCAACTGTCATTACTTGCAAAAGGGTTTTGCATCACAAATATATATATATATAGATGTACCGGTGCCAAATTGCAGCTTGTTCAATAGCCCGCTTGACCTCTGTTTGATAGGATAAGACCATATGGGGTTGTTGATGATCCGAAATAGAGGTCACTCAGGTTCTTGGTGTATATATTTGGTTCCTTTACTTCCCGAAGATCGCAAGTCCCGGCTCACCCACACATCCCTGCAATGAGATGCGGGAATGTCCTACAGCTAAATAGAGATGTATGCTGGAGGGAAAACTCTGAGTAAAAGCGGGGCCCCCAGCATCTATTCGGGGCCACAAATGGACACCCACCCTCCTGTGTGTGTGGATCTCCATGGCACACCCCTTGGATGGTCCAAAAAGAGGAGAACAATGACTGACAGAATGCCATGTGATTGTTCAAAGCTCACGTGCAGGTGTTGAAGCTGTATCCCAATTCATATCCCAGTCAGTGTGTGTGTGTGTGTGTTTGTTTGCTTGCCTGTTTGTTTCTTTGTTTGTGTGTGTTTTTGTGTGTGAACGCCTCATAAACAGAGTGCATGTTTGCAGCACAGTGTCAATTTCGATAGACTAATTACAAGATATTACACGAAAAGAAACACCAAAAGCCCACATAGTGCAACATTACTGCAAGCCACTCATCTGACAGACTGATATCTTCATCATCTCTTCTCCTCTTCACCGCGAACGGCCAATGAATCAATCAGCCGCTCTTCATGCATGGGCCGTTCGCGCCGTTCGCTCCGCCTACTCTCTGCTGCAACGAAGAGTCGGCCATTGCTGGCGTCCAAGCGACCAACTGCTGCTTGCACTCTCGGTAGAAAGATACTGGGCAGAAAGATGGCACTTTCAAAGCAATGCCGTGGTCTTGTACAGACGGAGATAGTTTGGGCTGGTTGCTTGCTTTGGAAAAGAAATGAAAAAAAACAATGCCGTATAGCTCATAGGTGCTTGCTCTTTCATGTCATCAATCGCGTGAATAGCTCACAAGGTGGCTTTGCTCCCTGTGACCAGGCTGTGCAAGTCCTTGTGTCCTTGAAGTTGCAAAAAATCAACAGTAACGTGCTCAACACTGTAACTGGTATACTGTAGACTCTTAAACATGGGGCGGATCAGGACACTACCCGCACGGCACCTGCACCACTCGGCGACATGACTGTTCTTTGGTTCTGCCCAAACCCTCGGTCGAACGGTCGAAGGGGACTGACCTGGCGACCCGAGGTCGCGGAGGTACCACCGAATCTTCCGACCGCGACAAAGGGTTCAGAGAGGTTCAGAACCGCCCTGAAACATGACCGGTCAACCACCTGGTTAACCAGGTCACCACCTGTTCAGAGGTGTTTGAAAGTTCCTCACCTGGTTGAACTGGTTGACCCGGTTGAACCGCTGAGCGCCCCGGACGCCCAAGGCCACCAACTGCGACTCGAGCTCGGCGATCCGAGCGCGGAGCTCCTGAAATCCGGAGCTCGGCCAGGGCTGGAAACTCGGTCTGGGCGTGGGTCGACAACACACCGCGGCCGAAGCCTTGCCTTTCCCCTGAAAAAGGCCCTAAACAGGGGAGCGTACCTCGCAAAAAAAACATCAAGGAATACCCAATTGTTCCATTGCAAATATATGGCTTAAGCCATGCTTTCTTTCGCAGTGCAGGAATGAATTGTTCTAAGACTGTCGTACCTTTTTGGGACGCTTGGTCTTGAAAACGGATGATATGATATGGATGCTTGGGATCTGTGCCCCAATTTTGCAGAATGGATCCTAGTTAGGCGTGGACCCGTGTGAAGTGCCCCGAGAAACCGAACCTCCTGGTAAAGGACATATAGTATAGAATCAGATATGAACCCATCGGTCCAGTGGAGAGTGTCCTATTCTACTGTGTCAACCCATGCGGGAGTGATCATTCAAGTTGATGGTCAAACTCCAAGAGAATGGCCCATCCACTACGAATGGCCACCGACAGTCACAGAATTCGCAGGACTCGCTGCCCTCTTTTCACAGCATCGCGCTGAGAACGACGCCTCCAGTGAGCCCAAAGAACGTACAGCGATTGAAAGGCAGAACGCAGCGGGTCTGCAGAACCGACGAAGAACATCATCGAGTTCCTCCCAGTCCTCCATCTCCTTGCGTACTGCAAATGGTTCAAAGCCAGCTCTGAACAAATTATATATATAAGTTAATTGAGCCTTTTCACTCATAAGAAAGGCTCTCACCCCTGTCTGAAATTCTGCTCTCTCGAGCTTTATTCTGAAGAGTGTTCAGATGTGTGCGTGTATGTGCATGTGTGTCAAAAGATGGGGACACCGCAAAGACGCTAGCAACAAGGAGAAACTACTTCAAACATCTTCAAAATGAAAATCCGTTGGTGGGAGTTCTCCTCATTGTGACCAACTCAAAGAAAAAGGACCAGCCAGAAGAAAGTAAATCAAACACCATGGAACAGTGAACACCAACCATTGGACGGTAGGACAAAATCTGTCTAATTAATGACCCACACACACACACACATACACACAAGCTTTTATGCAATCCTTTCTTGACAGCCCAGCCACATGACCAGGTCGGAGTCGACTCGCTCGACTTTTCGGGTTGATCTCCGTCGCGGGCGGCTTGACCGAGAACTACTTTGGAAGCTGAACGCTTTGTAAATGCTGAGAAAAGTTGGCAATGAGCCCATTCCATGCGTCGTCCTTACACATCAGGAACATCACTGGTTCCTACGTGTGACATGGAAAGCATCGTTGTCGTTCCACATATAAGCTACACAATTGTGGCATACGGTATACAAATGAATCAAATGAAAAGAACAAACAAGTTATAGTTCAGTGGGACCGGGAATGTTTTATTGCTCTGCAGAAAAACATGTATATTAGAAGAAATAAATAGAAATAGAAGAACGCATAATATATAATATCTGCATACTTATCTGCATTGTATCCGCAAATGGGTTGTGACTCCAAAATACCTACCCAGGGACCGCATATTCCTCGAGCAGACTTCCATGTTGGTCACAAACACCCTATTCTGCCATATCATATCCTCTGCTTCGGGCGGCTGATGCCGTCGCCCACGCTAGGCCGATCTGAAAGTCACCAGATGAAGAAAGCTGACGTGGCACCAGAGCGAAGGTGGAGGGACTCAAGGTGTACCAGTCCTCCTTTGATCAACATGTTTCCAGATCAAGTGGGACTGAACCTCTGAATCATGGCTATAGATATGCCCAGGGTCGACTCCGTCCGTGGTCGAACAAGCGCTTCCGACTCCATGTACGACCGGATCTCACTTTTCGATACTTTCCCTACCACCAACCACTCCAAACCACAACAAACCGCCTACTCACCACTCCACCCCGCTGGCTTCTCCTCGACCTGCTCCGCCACATGCTCCTCACCGTGCTCCGAAGACCCTGTTCCGAAGACGCGCTCGGACCCGTCCGCTTGGGACTCGCGGATGGAGGTCAGCATCGTCAACGCCACGTCCTGGGACGTCAAGTCGATCTGCTGGACGATCCGTCGGCGCACGGCACCTCCGCCGCGCGGGGTGTCGGTGTGTCGGTGTGTGAGATGGTGAGGGCGAACCGGTGGCCACCGGCTTGGAGTGGCCATCCGGATCAAACACCCTTCGAGGCCAGTTCTGTAGCAAACCCCGAGAGGGACAAAACCAAACTCCATGAGAGCCACTACGAGAGCCCTTAAAACAAAACCAGCATCGAATCACTCTGGACACCCAATCCTCATCCTTTCGTTGCCACATCGCAATGAGCCGGTGCCGTTGGGCGCCCACCCGTGAGATCAGCTCCACCGCCAAGCGCTCCGTCTGCCAGGAGGAGGGGTACAGAGCCGCCCAGCCGGAGCCATAGGAGGCCGAGGAGCGAGGGCCAAAGGGTTGTAAGAAGTTGCTCCTGACTCAGTCGTGGGTGGGCCGGGGTGCTATCGGGTGCTCACGGTTTTTGCAGCGAAAGAGTGTTTGAGTGAACGCATGCGCCCGTTGGCCCGTTCTTCGATTCTTCTGCAGGAAACCTTTGGGATGTAGGATCCAAGCGGTTGATCATCCACCACCACCACCACCACAGCAGTAAGGAAGTGTGGGATTTACAGTTTGGTGTGACCAATTTATGGCCCTGATAATGTGGGTTTGCAGTTGCCTAAGGAGCTACATGGAGCTACTCCTTTCATACAAACTGTCATTGATCGAATCAGAACACAATTGAAGGAATCAAATGCAAGCTTTGTCGGTCAAAAGCCTACGACTGCGTAGGTCAAGAGGCCCAAAACCCGGTGTTCAACACGACCAATAACGCATGGCCATACTATGGCCATACAGGTTTGCTGAATGAGTTCGGCACATCTCTTGAGCGTGCTGGGGACGAATCCAATCCCAAAGACATCTTCGAGCTGTGTCAGGCTGTGTCAGGGAAGAAACCAAGAGCCCACCACTACGAATGCTGAACCGCATTTCACCCCAGGCTATTGCTCAACAGTACAGGCTTTATTAATGATTCCGAAAAGCATCACCACGTGACAACCACAAACTGCAAGGCGTCTTCTTCAACTCATTGCCATGGTGTTTTCTTGATCTGGCAATAAAACCACGCAGCAAAATCCAAAAGGTCTGCTGCCCTGTCAAGGCTCTTGTTCATCTGCCCAAAATCCACTTCCATCATCCCATCCGAGCCCAAAAGCCCCGGCTTGGGCGCCACCTTGCGTTTGTGGTAGGGGAGGATGTGCAGGATTTGGGTTTGTATTCTAATTTAAACATTCCCTGTAGTCAGATTTCCTACCTTGGGACACCTGAGGTCGTCTTTGCTTCCGATTCCGGCTGTGAAGTGAAGTACTCCAAGGCCCGTACAACCCAATTAATAGATGAATCGATGGAATACTGCAGTATATACATATCATTAGTTATCTATCAAAAAATACCCAAGACCTTCACCACAAACGTACCAACTTGACCCTTCGTGCTCCCTCCGGACCTCCGGTGGATAGCGGTTCACATGATGCACCGATTCGCCATCCGCCGCCACACAAGGGGCGCAGGTGGCTCGAAAGCGCTGGGCGGATTTCAGCGAGGGTCCCTCCACCGAGAGCCGTTGCCAGGTGCCATGCCAGGTGCCACAAAGCCTGGAGACACCACTGGCACGGGTTGGTGAACGGGAAAACCGGTCCTGGTTGGATTCAATTCATTCTGTGATACCGTTGCCAGGGCAGCTGGTCGTGTATCTGGCACTGAACCAATGTGTGCACTCAGATTCCTTGGAGCATGCCCGCAAGAAGAACATCACCATGCCCTCATCACTTTCGGTGGGGACATGTCTTGGGCCTGCCCCACTGATCCACAAGCAAAACATCCATGATTTCGTCAAAGAAATGGTGGACATGGAAAAGACCTGCCTTGAGGGGAGCCACTTTCCATGTCCACCAATATCATCTGATTGATGTAAAATTGTTTTAAAAAGAAATGGTAAAATATTAAAATATAAGAACATCCCCCGTGTGCCGAGGTCAATCCTCTCTTTCTTATTTTTTAGATCCACCGTCTACATGTATCATCCGAGAATCCCCAAATAGTTCTGCCACTGCTCCGTGAGGTCCACGGGCTTTGGATGGTGCAGCCATGCGCGCACGGCTCGCGGAACCCCACGGCTCGATGAACCCATGGCTGTCGCCGCCGGCCGAAGCAGTCCGACCGGGGAAGGCGTTGGAACACCACGGATGCTGCGCTGCTGCGGACCCAACGGATGGTGCCAAGACATGGATGTGCATCAAAGACATGGGAGACCAGTCTGAAGGAAAATAGACCAGTCTACCATCGTCTACCCAGTGGTTGGGTGTCACCAAAAAAAAGACAACTACACACCCACATGGAACCTCTCCAATCACGAACTACATGGTTTGGCTATGGGTAAATAGTATTACTGATGCTCGTCCAGCTAGATCTCACACTTCTCAAGAAGATCCAGAAAATGGATGAAAATGGTCTCCTGGCATCTTCGAGAATTGAGATCACAAAGTCTCCTTAGCAACAAGTTCAGGTTCCTCCCTGGTGTCAGTGTCCCATAGTGGGGCCGGGCATACCCCTCTGCCCGAACAGGACCTCTACTCCGTCCTTCTGTGCGTCGGAATCAGCCGCCGCCACCTTTTCCACGAAATGACTGAAGCCACTGGATCGTGGCATGGCGAGTTGGGCGCGGATCGTGGTTTCAAGTGCCACTAAGAGATGCTCCAAGGAGCAAGCACCTGGAAAACACCTGGACCCCCCGGTTGGAATGGAGGACGAATCTGGAAAAATGCAGTGAAAGAGACGAGACCATTGTTTGTGGGGTTGACACCAAAACACATTCACCCGGTCACTTGATCTTGATCATCGGATCAGGTTCGGATCAGGTCGGATCAGGTCGGTTCATGTCGGTGCAGGTCGGTGCAAGCCGAGTCCAAGTGCTCTCATACCTCTAAGTATCTGATGCTGTCGATCTGCGTGTTCGTTGGGCCGCGAAGCCGGGGCCACGGCAGCGGTGAGCGAGCGGGATCTCCCCAAGCCAAAACATCCAGTGCCCGCTGGCGCAGTGCATGAGCGCCGCTCGGTGTGTATCATGGCCTCTTTCGTCATGATTTCCACACAATGGTTATAGTGGAACATTGCGACGACAACAACTACTACTACTACTCCTGCTGCTGCTGCTGCTACTACTACTAACTATAACTACTACTACTACTACTACTACTACTACTACTACTACTACTACTACTAC